ATATGTCTCTGAAATAAAATATTTTGCCAAAAATAGTAAGACTTTTTAAACAGGTAAAATTGCAATCTTAATTCTTATCTATTAAAATAACTTGTGCTATGTCTTTGTATTTTACTTTTGTTTAATAGTTATAAAAGGCATTTCCAAGCTAATACTTAAAACTGCGGTAATCTTGTGTTAGGTAGCTTACAAGATTTAGTATTTGAAGAATGTTTATTTTATTTTGTGTGTAACCTCAAGTGTGGGAATGAACTTATGTTTCTTTGTTTTGCTAGAATCTAGTGCTGGCTGAAGACAGTCCTGGAAGAGATAGCACTGAATATATCCTTGTCTTTGAGCCAGATCTGCCAGCTTTGGAAAAACCTTTGGAACCATATTGTCTCTCATTTATGTTTTACAACGGTATGTTTCCATTACTCTAAACTACTCACTTTTCCTTAGAACCAGCTATTTTTAGGTCCATAATACTTTTTCAGAACTGTGTAATAGCTTAATAGATTTTTGCTAATGTTTAAATGGAATCTGTTACTGTATTTTCTTCTAAAAATATATATGCTTATTTTTGTAGATTCCAAGAAGCAGCAACTGATGGCAACACTTACAAGGGAGAAAGACCAATTATCTAAGTCCATAGATCTTTACAGAAAGATGTTTGACACTACTAATCAGCTTGTAGCTGAAATGAAATGTAAGTTCAGTTAAATACATAAATAATTTTTCTGGAAATTCAACTTATTTATTTGAGAATGTGGAGAAGGGGAGAAAAATCTGTGTTGAAATCCTGAGATCAAGTAATGAGAGGGGAGCAGAAGGGAGTATGTCTTGCAGGGAAGCATCTAGTTTTTTGGATGGACCTACCTGTAGGTCAGAATTGTCAAAAGAAGGAATGAAGCATTGAAATTGGTGACCTGATGATTTTTTTTCCATGACTGCCTTTCACTCGCATCTTTGCAATGGGTATGTGAATTCTCATATATCTGGAAATGCAGCACTTGCCTAAAAAGAATCTTTGGGAATGAACTGTAGATAATCCACTTCTAAAAAGTTAGTCTTATATTTTCAGAATGTTATCTTTTCCCCTCACATTTGACCCAGTGTACATTATTCAGAAGTTTAATAGACGACATAAAGGGTTGTATTTGCTTCTTTGAAGCCATTCATTGTTTGTGTTGTCCAGCAAATACAACCCTTTATGTCGTCTATTAAACTACAGACCAATGTGAAGGCAGTGATTAATGGGAATGGGAGAAATGAAGGAAATGTTTTCTTTGCATTTTATTTTGTTTGCATCATCCTGCCTGCTGATCAGAAGGTTTGTTTTAATAGATGTATTCTGAATTTTTATTTTAAATAATCAGTAAATGTAAATACAGCAGGCTGGCATTAAAGATGCTGCTGTTTCTTGTCATTTTAATACAGGGTGCTGCATGTTTCTATTATGAATGCAGATCCCTGAAAACCAGTGTGAAAGGCAAAAAGTTCTGTTTCATATGGGTTTTGTACATATGTAGAGAATAAGTTAGAGTACAACACTGTGCTTAAGTATTACTTTCAAATACAAATGTGTTTGAATAGACAGTGGAAAGCAAGTCACCAGTTTTTATTCATTTGTTTTCAAAATTGTTTTGGTTCAGATATGAGAGTTGAGGAAGTAGTGTCCAGAAAGTGGTGTCCCATATAACAGGCAAAAGATGGTAGTGCCATCTACAACTCTTCAGTCTTGCCATTTCACCTGTTGGAGTATCATTTAGAAAACTAATTAAGGATGAAAACTAAAAAGAGCTTCTGTTCTCAGAACGATCTTTGTGGACAAAGCCTGATACTCTGTGCTGAAATAAAGAAGTAGATAGGATCAATTGTGGCTGGCAAAATTCTGAAAAGTTGTAAGAATTGTTCCACTGCTTTCTAGTATTTCCTTACCCTGTTGTGTTTATTGGTTTCAGGTCGGGTTAAAGAAGCTGTAACAAAAGAAACAACCCTGAAGAACGAACTGAAAAAACAGCAAATTGAGTTACCACAGAAGAACGTAGTATGGCTTGTTTCTTATGCTTCCATAGCATCTTTAAAATAAATCCAATCTTAATATGAAGTTTATATCATTATATGACATTACTGAATCACACTTGTTACCAAACCCATGAAAGTTTGAACCATAGGAAAACCTGTGGATCAATGCCAAATTTAAATTGTTGAGGTTTTTTTGCTGTTCTGCTAATGTGGGTATCTCTTAAAAAAACTGCTAGAGAAATAAGAAAAACTCGTTTATATCCTGAGTTTGTTTTTGCATTTCTGCTAAGGGTTACCAGTGTTACTGGTCCTGTTAGCTTTCATAATGGGTTTTTGCAGGCTGATGAATATACATTGGATGTATTCTCTCATAAGTAGACCAAAGGAAAACACTTCTTTTCAGAGAATTAGAGAATTTCATGTGTTACTGCCAAAACTGATATAAAAGTAAGTTTGAAAGATTCAGGGCAATGTACCCCATTGCCAATTTTCCATAAAGATCAAATTGTATTTTAAAGAAATTTTTTAAAGAATGTTTTCAAACTATAACATTTGGGTGAAAAAATGGGTGAAAAAAAGCCACCTATGTAACCAGATCTTTAGATCAAATAAAAACAAGTTAGAGTCATTAAACACATATCAGTAGAATTAAATTGCAATCATGGTACCCCAGCTCCCCCTGCTGGCTTAAGTTTTCAGACCTGGACATAGTCCCCTTCTGAAGTGGTTTCTTTTTGTACGTTCATGGTTGTCTCTTCCTGCTGTTTTAAACTTTCATCAGTTTTGGCTCTAATGAAGCTCTGGTAGCTTTTTGTGAAAAGTTCCTTGAAGTCCTATAAAAACTAAAAAAAATTAAAAAGGAGTTATTAAAAAGTTCAGTCATAGTTGCAATGTGCCTCCCTTTTCTCTG